AAATGTGCATTTTCTTTCTTTTTTTTTTTGGCAACGAACTCTCTCACTGCAATTATACTGAGATTCCTTGAATATGAATGTGATGAAAAAAAAGCTGTCATGAATACATATACTTCCTTATGAAAGACATTTTAGTTTAATGCTTAAAGGCTTATACACAATCCTTGTGTTAAAATTGGATGAAGATGGTCACAAAAGTGGTAATCTAAGTATGATCGCGAAGACAACCTATTAATTCTACAAGGTAAAATTCTCCTGGATATTAGATTTATTTGACAGTGATGTAATAAGATATAATATAAGCACCAATCTAATTTTGTTAATAAAAAATTAAGGGGATTTTCAGAATCTATATTTAAATATGTACTGTGCAGAAAAAAAACAATAATGAACTCAAAACTGTTTGGGACCAACTTGGACGTTTGTGAAATGCAAAAATGAAATTGACTTTTGTGTCAACTTCCTATTGAATGTCCAGATGCACCCATTGCCAATTGAAGAGTCTGAACACAACCACTCACAAACATACTGAGATCCATTTAATAGTTTTTGAAGATTTTTCCTGTAAAATGGCTTGTATTTCCACAGGTACAATAGTGAAGAAATAAACTTTTCAATTTGACATGAAATATAAAAGAAGAGTTTTTACAAATATATCCATAAAATTTAACTGCTCATAACACTATACATGGTAAATATGACCACCCCCTTAACTTCTAGCCTATTTAATACAGAGAAGCAATTGTTCATCTCAGCTTAAAAAAAAAAAAAAAAAACACAAGAAAACTTCCCTTTCATCAAATTAATTCTGTTTAGAAATAGTTAAGTAGAACTGGAAAAATATTTACTTTTCCTTACCTTCTTCTAGGAAGTCTTCATGAAGCTGAAAACTTATTTGAAAGAACATAAGTTTAACTGAAAAGAAATATTGAAACTTTCGTTTTACTGCTTCAGTAATGCTTGCATTCTTGTTATTAAAAAGATCCTGAAGTTGTCTCATTGGCCTTTGACTGAAACATACAGAATCGATTACAGAGTCGTGCTCTATTTCTAGTGTGGAAGGAGGAACTTCCTACCTTCAGCCATAAATGCTAAACCGTGGGGATTTAAGATTGACAGTCAAAGGAACAGAGTTGGAGTCGGCTTAAAATGAGATCTGTGGTTTTGTCTAATGAGAAATTCCACTGTGAAGAGGCAGGATGATATGAGAATAACCAGTTTTTAGCCAGCACTGACAATGGTGTGATCACACATCCTTTAATGCAAGCCCAAAGAACAGAATGGCTTTTAAAAAGAAAAGTTGATTAGAATCAAAGTACTGCAGGTAACAATTCTGTAACCTATGTTGTACTTAAATTGAGGAGAAAACATGTTCCTTAAACTCTCAAAAGTGCCCAAATAACAATACTGAGATCCCAAATAACAGGGGTTTGAATTTTTCTATGTAAGCAAAAAACGAAGTTGATGAAGATTTCTCCTCAACTTTCCTAATACAGTATATGTAATAACTTAAAATAATTTCCCTATTGATACTGGAAATGAATTCTACAATCATGTGTATGCCAGTTCCTGGCATATTTCTGCATCCAGATTCATTAGTCTCCTTAATGGAGCCCATCATTTTTCCAATGGCTTTCTCCTTTCTTTAAACCCTAACCCTGAAATTCTATAACCAGTTATATCACGTGGCTTCCCTGAGGCACAAAGGTACCAAACTCTATAATTAACTATCGAGGAATGATAAATATGCTCTCTATTTATATTAAAAGATTTTAATTCTTTTGGGCCACAGTTGGGGAGGGGGAACCAAACCCAGAAAGCTTAATATTTACTCTGCAGTGTGAATTGTAGCCCTTTTTATTTGCAAAAAGTGAAACCAAATAAGGGAAATGTGAAAGTTGCAGCATGCATGACCTGGCAGCACCGGTTATTAGTAGTTTAAAAAACAAAAAAAAAACAACCTCTGGATTAAAAAAATATTCAGAGTTGCATCTCACCTACTCTGAATCTTTTTCTTTTTTGTAGTAAAATGACAAACAACTGAAAAAAATAATATCTATGGGAATACATCACTGGGGCTATACTTTTGGAAACCTATTCACAAAAGGCATTTTGATCAGGCTGAGGTCAGATCATTAGTTGGCAATTTCCTATGTATACACCTAGGGGGTGGGACTCACCCTTTCATGTGACAGCAAGCTGGACATGAACACAGAAGTAACTTTTGAGAAGGATCTTCACCTTTTCTGAACTGTATTATCTGACTTTGGTGAGTTAGAATTTGTTATTCTCACAAACTAAACTGCTTTCAAGTAGGGGTGGGGGGTGGAATCTCATTAACCAAATTTATAAGGGGATGTTCTGAAGGTGGCCAAGATAAACAAGGTTTCCTTCCTTGTAGACCTGCCATTCTCTGTGGTGGCAGAGGGGGAGGGAAGGCGGAGGCCCTTACTAGGAAGTCAAAGGAACTGAGAGGCCGTTCACTGTCACCCCTTGTAAGAGCTGGAACTTTCAACTTGTACTTCGCTCTCTGAGTTTTTCTAAGTCAGAAACTTTTCAGGGTAGAAGAGAACTTTACTTGGGGACATATATTATTGCATGCAGAACTACTGGACTTATCCACAGCTGACCCTTGAACAACTTGGGAATGAAGGGTCCTGACTCACACAGTCGAAAATCCACATGTACCTTTTTTTCAGAGGTGAGCTGTTCATGTGGAGATGATACACATCACATGGCATTTGAAAGAGCTACTCGAGATGTGAGACAGCAACAGGAGGTGGCCATGAAATTACAGCACAGTATGCTTCGTAGTAAGTTACACAGTGATGATTTAATGCTGCATCTTTACATTTGTTCTCATTTCTCTGGATGGTGAACAATGCCACATCCAGTTTGTGTTAAGTTTTCTAAATTCTAACTTTTTATGATAGAGTTGCGTATATCTTAGGTAGTAAATGATAAAACAGACTATTAACTACATATATTTTATGCATGTGTCACATCCCTAAGTTTTCTTTTCTTGATATTTCTATATGGCTCATGTATGAGTTTTTTCAGTCACAAGCCTCAATAAAATTTCTCAGTATATTTACTGAAAAAAGAAAATCCATGTGTAAGAGAACCTGCGCAGTTCAAATCCATGCTGTTCAGGGTCAACTGTCCTTGAGATGGAAAAGTAGATCAGAGCATGACTTTCTGGGAACAAAAATCTTTTTAAAGGTAAAGTCCAGCCATTCTGAACGCAAGGCCACTTTCTTGACAAGAGGCTTTCAGAATACCAAGACTTTTGAAATCTCATTACAGCTAGAAGAGGGGCCACATGCTTTCCTTTGTCATTTTGTGGAGCCCAAAGAATCACAGGCTGAAGAGGGTGCACACTGTTAGTAAAAGTTAATCACTGGAGAGACTGGCTAAAATAAAGACACTTGCTATATTATTTTGGGCAATTCCATTTTTTCTTTCATTTTCTGTCTGCAGTTAGAGTAAGTTAAGAGAGAATAGAGAAGCTATCAATACGAGGACTGCTGTTGGGTTTTCACATCACTAAGCAGTTACCAAAACAAAATGCCCCATTTTAATTTAGCCATTGAAAAGTAAAGCTGTTTTTAAAATGGACAGGTTAAACTTTTTAAATGTGAAGTCAAATTAAGCAGCAGCAACCAGGGGCAATATATCTTATGTTAGGGAAAAGGCTATTCAAAATAGATCAAAACAATTGAAAATAGGCAAGACTTGGAAAAACCAATTCAAGTATGCATATAGTATATTAGAAGCATATAAATCATATATCTTTACAAAGGTTAAAAAAATCTAGCCCTAGTCTGCCATGGTCAATATAAGAGGGTGTTTCGATATTATTTCCATGTGGTACAGATCTGTTTCAGCTCGGCCAGCTCAGCCAGTCTCATGTCCTCAAAGACTCTTCTATTCTGGGAGCAGTGACACCGCTGGTACCCAGTACAGAGAATGAGCATCCAAGAATTATTATTCTAAGTGAAATGAAACTAACAGAGAGGGATGGCAGAACTCATATGAAATTCTGATTTAATTATTCCTCAGTAAACACTCATTTGCTCTCTCGAAATCAGGAATTTCAAATTATCACTGCAGATGTACCGCTTGGTGGTGTGTATATCTAATGATCACATTTAAATTTAGTTTGATTTGCAAACATTTTCAAAACTTACAGGGCTCCGTAAGCTGCAAGGGGAGGTGACAGATGGCGGGAAGGGAGACAGCAGAAATGCCTGCATGGTGGTGCTAGGTTGCTTTTAGGCTCACAGGATTTTGGCTTTCTTAAAGACAAAAAAAAAAAAAAAAAAAAAAAAACCAAACTTATGAAATCCCAGTAAGTGGTTCTGAGAAACAGACTCTTACTTTAAATCACTCTTAAATCTGAAACAACCCAGGAAGCAAATAAACTTGATAGTATGGTGCCTAGCTGTGTCTGCTGCTGCAGTTGTGATCTTCAGTTAATGGATCTTAAGAGTTGCTGCATTTTAATCAAGCAAACAGATCTAGCTATGCAGGATAAACATCAGGGATGAACTGTCCTAGAAACAACAAAAGGCAGACTAAAAAGTTATGGGGAAGTCTTTGTTTGAAATGCCAAGGTATTTGATGAATGTGTCTATAAAGTAACCCAGCCCTACTGAGTTTAATAAAAAACATGACATATGAATATACTCTCCCCCCTTGCAAAATAAGTAACCACCGGTGCCTAAGGTCTCCTGTTCACAAAGAACATTCTGGAGAGCCACCCCCTTTGGTATCTGGTTCCCTTCTAGCCTGTATCAAGGATTTGCAGACACTGCACGTCTTTCAGTGAGCACCTACCCCACAAAACATGGACAGGTACTCAGGAGAGTCAGCCACTTTTGGAAAAATGTCTTTGACATTTTGTAAAATAGGATTTAAAGTCTTGTCCATGTCTATAAAGGAAAAGAATTATTTAAAACCCACGGCTAAAAGGACAGCGTGGGGCTTTAAATCCAATCATTACCAAGCTAGCATGTTCAATTGAGTAGACTCCAGTGGCAGTGCTGCAGTTCTGGGCATGCACCACACTGCGCTCAACCCCTGGCATGTATGATCGCTGAGTCCCTGCTTTGCTCCCAGCCTCAGGCCCCCTCCACTTAATAAACAGTATTATAAAAAGGTAAAATCTAGAGTTAGTGGCAAAATCTTCACAGTAACTTGTTAATAAAGTTGTAGATGGCTGTCAAGGGCATCAGTCAACTGGACCCTGGAAAATTAATTTGATGCAGTTCTGTTCCCCAACCAGCTGCGTGGCACAGAAAGGGCAGGCGGCGTGAAATGCATGAGTTCCGTGAGGCAATGGGATCTGAGACCAATATTTTGCAGACTTCTCTGAGCACACGTGTCCACAAGGGGTGAAAGCATGAGTTGGTGGTCCCGCGTCTACATAAAAACCAGCCTCACAGCCGAGCCAGAGAGGCACATAGGGGCCCACGGTTCTGCACATGGGGCACTCCCTCTCGTTGGCCTCTGTGTCGCTCCGGTGGCCCCAGTTGTGGTAGCCGTGCACGTGGCCACAGCTGAGATATGCCCAGGGCTGCTTCTCCTCCACCACCTCCTTCCTGCTGATGCTGGGGAAGGCCAAGGTGTTGAGCCCCACCGGGCACTGGGGCCGGGCAGCGTTGATCTCCTGCCGGAGGGCCTCAATGTGCTTCTGCGTGGGAGTGTGGAAAAGGCCGTCGGCGGTTCTCCAGAGCAGAGTGGCCCCGCACAGGTCAATGAGGGAGCCGTCCTGCAGGACATTGGTTTCATTTTCCACCTACAAGTTCGACAGACATGCCTTTAAAAAGCAAAATTTGGCAAGCTAGCATTCTTCTCAAAATAAACAAAAATCATCTTTGAAGTTGACAGAGGGAGGCAGTTTGTCCCACTGAGAACAGGACCAGGCAAGTGACTTATCCTCCTTGAGGCCCGGTTCCGTCATTTAAACACACACACAACACACACAAGCCGAGTCTGCAAGCCCGCAGCACGACACACGTACCTTAGGTGTTCATGAAATGTAACAGTTATTTTAATAAACACACATCTCCTGAGATTTTAACTTTTTCTTCTTAAGCCAGTAACACAATTACGCCTAGGTCTCCTAAGGCACAGAGAGTCTCCAGTTCAACCACTGAAGACTCACTCATTTTAACTAGAGTCAATCCAGAAGCCCCTTGTGGGCTCCTGCGGTAATTCCGGCAGGTCCAAGAGATTACTGCTGACTCGCAGCTTCCTACAATCTCTCCTTTATCCTGCATGCTGAAGACTTGGAGCAAAAGCCTCATTTCTAAGAGGATGTCTGTGCTATGCACGCCAGGTGCTCACAAGACTGAGTATCAGCAGCAGTCAGACGTGGTCAGCAGAAGCACGACCACTGCCTCCCCAAGCCACAGTGCTCAAAGTCCCAGGGGCACAGACACCAATAAGGCCTCCCCCGTCCTGGAGCTTGTTTAGTGCAGTAGTGGGCGGCAGACCTGGCACAGCTGGAGTCAGTGAAGGTGCTGAGCGTGCTGGGGAGCCACTGCCCCACAGCAGCCCCGAGCACGGAGCCTGGAGCCCACCGCTGGGCTGGAGTCCTGGCTCTGTCACTTACTAGTACTGTGACCTTGGACAGTTATGTAAGCCCCAAGTGCCTCAATTTCTTCTCCTGTAAAATGTAGATAAGGGCACTGTGAGGGTTAAGTAAGTTAATACAAGTGCAGTGCTGAGGACAGTATCTGGCGTGAACTAATAAGCATTGCGTTAATGTCTGCTATTATGATAGGTCAGGGGGAGTTTTGATAAGGGTTCTCCTTGGACAGAGATTTGAAAAAGATGTCAGCAGTCAGTGAATAGGGCAGAAGAAAGTTCAACAGGTGCCTGAATGGGGCTGGATGGGGGCGGGGTGTGGGGTGCAGGATGAGAGACCCGGGCTAGAGGGTCGCCTGGCCTCATGTAGCTGAGCAAGTCAAGAGGAGTTTTAGGCAGCTATGGGAGAACAGATTTGCCTTTCCAGAGTGCAGAGAGCAGACTGGAGGTCATAAGACCACGGGTGGAGGAGACAGTTGGGGTTAGTTCTCTCTCAAGGCAAAGAGGACGTATGTACCCCCAAAAAGAGGCAATCAGTGGCAACAGACCAGAGACACAGGTATTGAACTCATTAGTCCCCAGAGTTCTGGATGTGAGGAAGAAAGACCTTCACATATCAGGCAATCTTACTGTCTACATAGAATGGAGCTTTCCATGGACAGAGAATATAGGAAAAGTAGCAGACCGAGGGAGGAGGGAGGGGAAAATTGGAAGTTCAGTTTTGGGTGTGGGATCTGAGGGCCACGCAGAATGGTATTCTCAGTGGTAATGTGATGTGAAACAGGAATGAAAATAACAAGTCCTCAAAACAAAAATCCAACAGAAAGTAGCAAACTGGGTTGGTAATCCAAATTCCAATCTCCTTTCTCCCTTTTAGAAATATACGGTTAACATCTTTCTGAAAAATGCTAGATCATAGCACTAGTCCCTGTATGTTTCTTTATGGGTTTTGGAAAAAAAAATTTGATCTCTTGTTCTAACTTCTACTTCACAATCAATTCAAAATACCAGAGTAGAAAGTTTACTAAGAATTTGGCACTGTGCCTACACAGCTGTGGCAAGATCAGAACCCCAAAGCTCTCCACTGAAGATATAATTATTCTCCATAGGAGTAAAGGGTTAAAAAGCAACTGCCTTAGAGCATTTGGGATAAAAAGCAATATTTACTGGAAAATATTAACATGCCAAGTCAATGTACTATATGAATTATTTCAAGCAAATAGCAATAACTATGGTTTTTGTGAATTATATAGGGAATTTGTATTGATTTCTTACTCTGAGCTGAAGGGGCAGGGAGAGCTAATTTAATTATCTTGTAGTTCCAAAGAGTCTAGTAAATAATTCTGTAATTCTAATACATAATTTTCACTAGTTACTCTTAGACTGTTCAGAATTTTCCCAAATTAGTAGTTTTACATGCAAAACAAATTTATCCTTCTTCAAGTGAATTTAAGTGCAATTTGGTGGTGATGTGTATAGTAGAAGATCATGCTTTTAAGGTAGTAAGGAATAAAAGCTAAGTTTCTTCCACTATGGGAAAAGCTTGATCATTAAAGGAAATCAAGCCATTTCCCTCTTACTCTGAGAAGACTTGCAGAGTTCTCAATCTCTGCATCAGTGGTGCACAGCACTCACACCTGTACAAAGTCAGGAACTGCAGGGGAGGAAAACGACAGTCCTCCAGCTAGATTTTAGTTGTTTGGTGCATTTTCCAGAGTGAAGTCAAGTCCACTCACCAGCTTTCCCCTCTGCTGGGCCGACCTGGTTTCTCGCAAGGTGTACACGTCTCCGCAGACAGAGATCTCGCGCCAGACCCCGGGCTGGGACTCCTCGGTGAAGCCTCCTCTTGGATGCATCACCAGGACGCCGTTGGTGGTGAGCCCATCCATGTGGCCATCGGGATTTTTCCACTTTGCTGCCTTTTCCTGGAGAGGAGACCACAGAACAGAAGATGCCTGCTGAGATGACATTCAACACGAAGAGATACAGGAATCTCTCGACAATACCGGGCAGGGCAGAGGGGCAGGAAGTGATGAGTTTTCATTTCCTATTTAAAGTTAATAATCAGAAGGGTAAAATATGCAATTATGCTGGCAATAGGGAAAAAGTGCTAAAGTGGATGAATGGTGTATCCCTGGAAGCACATTATATTCATCTTGGGAGCTACCAAAAAAAAAAAAGAGAGAGAGAGAGAAGAGAGCGAGCGAGCGAGCGAGCGTGAGCCTGACGTGTGGGCTCTTCCTCAGAGATTTGTTTTTTAAGCCCCCATGTGATTCCAGAAATCTGCGACATGTTCTTCACCCCTATTATCTAAGAACACTTACATTTACATGTACTTACCTGAGAAGGATACAGAACAAAGGATAGTCATGGGGAAAAACAATTTTTATTAAACACACTAAATGTCAAAAAATGTTCAGCTAATGAGCGGTGAGCACTATGCTGTCACACAAATCTGTGCTTGTGGGGCGAGGGGTGCCCATGCAGAAGGATACCGGGGCAGGACAGACACCCTGGAGTGCCTTGCCATAGCGTACCCTCTTCTTTCTTGGGGATGGTGCCCACGTTGTTCCCCTCACTCGGGTAAACCCTGACTGGGATGACCTGACCATGACGACCCGTGCCCTGGCGACACTGGCTGGGAGTGGGCATGTGACTAAGAGCTGGCCAGGGAGGCCTGAGTGGTCTTTTGGGATGCTTATGGGAGAGATGCCTTGGCTCTGAAGAGAGAGGAGGAGCAAACAGTCCCTCTGCTGCCTCCTCTATGGCAGGAAATGTCAGAGCGTGGGAAGTGCAGGGCCCCCTTCTCTGGGTGGAGAAGGCTGCCCCTGAGGGAGCTGAAGGGCCCAGGGAGCAGAAGGCAGGACAGAAAGGACCTGGCTCCCTGGGTGTCAGACAACCATGGGATTAACTGGCCTTGGAGCTGGCCTTCCTTGGTGCTTCTTGATACATGGGATAATATATTGTTAGCACTATTTAGGCCATTTTTTAAAAAAGATTTATTTATTTTATGCATACAAGAACTGGGGTGTAGGCCAGGGGTGTGTTGGGTGCGAGGATTCACCAGAGACAGAATAGAGAACAGAACAGGCTGATTGACTGAAATACACTGCTGAGGGGAGCAGCAGGAGAGACAGGAGAGGTCTGCTGCACCATGGGTAGCTCCATGGCTGGGGATTGAACTCGTGCTGCAGAGGCTGCAGATAGCTTCAAAGTGCTGTGCTTAACCCCTTGTGCCATCAGGGAGGCCCTGAATGGTTTTTTTCTTCCTGTAAAAATATCCTGATTCAAGAAGGAACTATTTTAAAGGTGAATAGTCGCTAAGACTTTTGGGTTTCATTTACATGGAGAAACTATGAAAACAGACACTTTATTTGCTGTGTACTCTGCACTATCACAGCTATAACATCCAATATGGAACACAGCACATGCTCAATACATTTTTATGAATGAATAACTAAAATTTCCTTTGAACCCATTTATTTTTTCCTCTGAACTAACCCCCTCCAATCTAACATAAATACATTATGTACAATGTTTATATATACTTTAAAAAGCAATTACTGTACAAATTATATTTAATATAGCACATGTAACAAATGACTTCATTGCTTTCAGATTTTTAGTCACAGCTCTTCCAACAGATCATCTGAAAACTCAAAATCTAACTGGAAGCATCGTGGAAAGCAAACTTGTTGGCTGAGATGAAATATTACCTTCAAGAATAGTATTTTTCTTGAAAAAAGGTACTGTTTAATAGTACTTACTCCAAGAAATATGTTTTTGGAAGAGTCAAATCCAGCTGCAAATATCCTTGCTGTGTAAGGCTCGTTCCTGTCACAGACGATCCTGCAGGCAAACCTGGAGATAGTGCTCTGTGTGATTTGGGCTTCATCATTATTCTGACTGCCAGAAATTGTGTCTGTAACAACGAAGTCGATAGGGCTTTCTGTTGACCTGCCCACCTAAGTAAATCAAATATACATGTGATTTACTAGAAAAATACTGTGTCATCATATTTTATTCACGTCAAATGAATGTTCAGGATCCCTTTAACATTCATTATCCCTGAGGGTCAAACTTTAATTAAAAAAAAAGTTTCAGTCCTGTTCCTTTATTATTTAAGCAAACGTGTTATTATAGTAACCAATCAAAATTTAAATGTGAAGAGGAAAGCTGAATTTACTATTCTGGAAGAAGATATAGAGCTTGCCACGCTAAGAAATTTTACTGAGCTCTAAGAAGCTTTACTTTCAAAGCAAATTGTTTTTTTTTTTTTTTTTTTTTTTTGGTACTTCCAGATGGAAAAGAAAGGAAGATATTAAAAAGGAAGTCAACAAACAAAGGAACTCTTGACTCCTATTCTCGCCCTGTTGCAGGGGACAGCTTTCCTCATCAAGTAAATCCACCAGTGACTCGGCACAGAGCAGGGACAGTTCTCACCTAGATGCACCCCAAATGCCAGTGTAAGTCAGAGTCCTGTACAGTCCTAAGACAGCTAAAGTTTGAGGTGTGGTCAAATGGAAGACTGAAGAAACTGGTCTTCACATTTCCATTTCGGAATTTTTAAAAACTTGGGAAGGTCTAAAATACTGCCATTAATGTTACACTGGCTTACTTCCTTCGGTAAGTTTAAAGGCTGTCAGAATAAATATATTCCATTAGCAAGAGCTTGGAGTTCTATGAAAACTTTTCATAGTCAATAAATTCAAATAAGACATGTACTGTTCTGTCTTGTAAACTGGGAAGAGTTAAGTATTTCTTTACAACTAAGGAAATCCTCAAGGTGGACTATTAAAACATTTATATACTGTTCTATGAATCTCTAACTGGAGAACAGTGACAAATGTTATATCTATCAAAGAGATTTTATAAGTTAAAAGCATCTCTATGTATTCAAATCATTATTTAATATTAAATATGATGTTAATATTCTCTTCTAACAACAGTGCCTGTAATTCTGAAGCTGCCTGTGAGAGGAACACACAGAGGCCCCAGATGTGTACATTTAAGGCCCCCAAAAGTCAATTTCCCAAGTGTTTTTATCCTGATCTAAAATCCAACTGAAAACTATTGCTGTAATATACTTTTTATTCAAATGGATAAAAGTGAAAAATACACATATCTTGTGTCATTTGGCACTATTTGCTCCCTGGAGCAGTATTACTAAATTTCTTTCTAAATCTCACATATACATTCTCGTGCATAGATTATCACTGTAAGAGCAACAGACAACAGACATTCATTTTCATTTTCTCTTTGTTTTTTATAACCGTTAATCTCTTGTCCTAATGAAATGTGCCTGGAAAAACTTAACCGCCAGGTTCACTGAAGCTCATCAACTTGAATAGATGCATAGGGCCTGAGCTTATGCATTTCAGATTTAGAAAACATATAGTTTGTTTAAAAAGGCAACATAAAATCTAAATTAGCAATATTATAAAATTGTATCATACAATTCATCTTTCTCAAGCTGCAGAATCTTCCCTTTGCTAGCTTCATTTGAAAGCTGGGTGAGTAACTCAAAAGTTCTTCTGATTCTGATTGCTCTAATTTTTTTTCAAAGCCTTAAAAAAAAAAGCTCTATTCTCCCATAAGTAAAAAATACAGTATTACTAACTATAATCATCCTGCTGTCCACCAGAACTTAGTCATCTTTTTTTTTTTTAAGATTTATTTATTTATGCACACAAGAACTGGGGTAGAGGCCAAAGGTGTGGGGGGTGAGAGGATTCACCAGAGACAGAGTAGGGAACAGACAGGCAAGTCAAACGAAATACACTGCTGAGGGGAGCAGTGGGTGAGATAGAAGAGGTCTGCTGCGCCATGTGGGTAGCTCCCTGGGTGGGGATCGAACTCGTGTTGCAGGGCTGCGGATAGCTTCATAGGTTGCATCTTAACCCCTTGCACCACCAGGGAGGCCCAGAACTTACTCATCTTAAAGATGGAAATTTGTACCCTTTCACCAACATCTCCCAAGACCCTACACCCCCAGGTAACCACTATCTAGTCTGTTTTTTAATTTTTTTAGATTCTACATATAAGTGATATCATACTCTATTTTTCTTTCTCCATCTGATGTTTCATTTAAAATTTTTTTTTATTTTAATAGAGGCATGTTTTATTTATTTGTTTGTTTATTATTTGTTTGTTTTGTTTATACTTGCACTGGGTACAGTCAGAAGCGCGCGGGAGGGTGAGAGAATTCACCAGAGCCAGAGCGAGGAGCAGAGCAGGCAGAAGGACCGAAGTACACTGCTGAGGGGAGCAGCGGGCGGCAGGAGAGGTCTGCGTGCCATGTGGGACCCTCCTCCGGTGGCCGGGGAGCAGCCGGGGATCAAACCGGCGCTGCAGAGGCTGCGGGCAGCTTGGCAACCCAGCGCTCAACCGCTGCGCCACCGGGGAGGCCCTGATGTTTCATTTAAAAATTTTTTTATTAGAAAGTAACAAATACTTACTGTAAAATATTTCAGAAACAAAAGAAAATATATAGGAGAAAAGAAAGGCCTTTCCAAACTCAGGAACAAAGCTGTGCTGAACATCTAGTCCAATGACACTTAGGAGTGCAATGTGGAAAGTTCTAAAATTACTTACTCATCATATAAAACCCAGAGCTCTATAATGACCAGTTTCTGGCCTAATTTCTAACAACCTCTATCAACCTTTCTAACAAGAGAGTGAAGACTTTTCAAGCTTTGTTGCAGGTTTTTCCCACTCTGCAAAACTAAATGGTCCTATTTTGTATGATTTGATATTATTTTGAGGGGTCTCAGAATGCTCAAAATTTTCTTCCCTATAAATAAATGGTAATAGTATTCCTATACCCCCAATAACCTACCACGTCATACCAAGTAGGAAGAATCCACTTTCAGATAGTTGGGGAAACCTATATAACCCATAAAGCTACATCCTAGTACAGTGACACAAAACTGCTTCTCTACCAAGATTTTGCTCTTCAAGAAAGGTCACACTGACTTCATCCCAATATATTAATGTCTTGATGAATTCTCATAAATGACTATAAAACATGACATTTTATTCCAACTGGAACAGACTGCCAGGATCAACTATCTATAATATAGTCGAGATACTTACATGACTGGCCATATAAGTAAATCTAACCTGTAGAGCAATAATGTAATTTGTAACTTAGGACACAAGCCTCATGTTGCTTTTGCCAGGAAAACACTAAGTCACTTTCCTACTGAAAACTCACCGATGTGAAAAACCTACAGCCTGTCTTTTCTTTGGATCACTGGATCAACTCGACATTATTTTAAAGGCAGTCATGTGGCTGAGCCAAGCTGTTCTGAATTTCATCTGATGTTCATATAGTGTTGATGATGGAGGCTTAGCACAGAAAATTTGGGGTGGAGGCTTCGCAAGGCAAGATACTAGAGATGGGGTTAGAAATGACTGACATAGGGGCCTCCCTGGTGGCGCAAGTAAACTTAGTAAACTTGCTATGTACCACTGAAAGGGAACTCTGCCCAAACTTTTCTCATAGGGAACCCAAGGATCCCACTCACTGAACTCCAACATCACATCCAAATCCCAACATTGTCACCTCATCAGAATCTCATCACTGGATATTCACATAGTAGATAGGGGGAAATTTTATTTCCTACTATTGTCACTCCTAGGCCCAGCATCATTCAGCACTCCCAATTTTGTATCTATAAGAAAAGTTGGGGGTTGTCTGGATGTTAGTTGAAGTCAGTGCAGTTCAGGTGATGCTGAAGCACCTGGAAGGCCTCCCTCACAATTCCTAGACCAATCCTACCTGTGTCCCCACATCTGAACCTTTTTTTCTGACTTTCCTCCTTTGATAGGATGATGGATTGCAGCCCGAACACAGGACTCACTGCTCCACTGACGCCTGGGACCCTGAGATTCCAGCCTTCCAACAAATTTGGCTCCTGATCTTGTCTGTCCCTTTCTCCTGAATTATCAACTTTACTTATTATATGGTGTAGGGTAAGGAAAAATGTCAGGCTTTTCTGCCCTCCCACCCTCAGGATAGATGATGGACGCTTGCAGTCCTGAATGCATGCCTGATGGCCGGCACCTGGAATAGGGTGTGGGCATAGTAGATGGGATCCACCTGGGCTGAGACTGGGCTTTTAAAGGACAGCGTCATGAGGACGCCAGTAGAAGCTGAGAACGAACAGAAGCCGAGAGAGAAGCAGAGAAGGCCGGAGAGCCCAGATAGAGTGAAGACTTGCTGGGGGCTGGGAGGCCTGCGAGCCTCCTGGCCCCCCAGCACCCCTGCCTGCCGTGTACCTGGTAATCCTAATAAGAGACCTGCAAAAAACCACTGAGGACTCTGACTCCTCCTTTACCCGGTCTGCTGGATCCTAGAAAACCTGCTCAGTGGCCATTCCTGCCCTTTACATATGGGTTCGTGCCACTAGCTCGCAAACACATTCTGGAGCTTCTCAAACATGTCACTGATACTTTAAAAATATATAATAAAAAGGAGAATTAGAAACTGATTATCTGATTGGATGTTTCCACAATGCTAAAGTGCTATTTAGTTTCCAAACGCCTCCTCACCATTTCCTACTTATCTCATTGTGTACTGTTAAACATTTCACTGCTTGGCTGAGCACAGTTTGAGAAGCGTGCTCTAGACTAGTTGCTCATCTTTAAACACGCTTTCCTTCGCCTCCAAGCTATATTGCCTCATTTTCTCTGATGCACTAAATGGCAATACTTCTTAAAAACCTGTCACTAGCTAGCACCCTCCATTTCCTTACCCATCTCCTTAACTTCTCTCAACCCACTCCAACTCAGCTGCTCTCTATTCGGCTCTGCTGAACCACCTGATCCAGAGCTTACGATCAGTTAAAATATCCTGGTACATCTATGAACTTGTATTAAAATAATGGATCGAGAAGATGTGGTACATATGCACAATGGAATATTACTCAGCAATCAAAAAAGATAAACTCATGCAATTTGC